CCGTTTATGACAGCTACTGCAGCACTGGACTATGAGTTGGCAAGAGCAGAGCTGGTCCACATTTGACTACGGAATGTTTGATTGTGCCAATTATACTGGTGGTGTGTCATCTTATCATAAAGTGTCAGTCAGAGCAAAGCAAAGATGGAAGCAACTTTCTCAAAAGTACAAGGAATTGTCAATGACTAAACTCTAACCACAGATGTATCCGGATGTGTTTCAGGTGTGTTTCTGGTCTATTACAGAGACATTTTATATAAATAAATAATTGATCACTTAAATGTGTTTCAATTCGTCCCTGAGCTCCCTATCCATTGAATCAGTTTAATATAACAAACACCTTTGATCAATAGGACAGGAAAAATATGAGTAAATCTGACGTTGAATCTAGATGAAAAGGTACAACCAAGATTAATATGCTGTGTATCAATACATCTTGAACCGCTGTAGTTTACAACAATTATCATTTCTAAAGTGGAAGTTGGGAGAGTTATATTTGAGTGTTTCAGTGAAACGTAAGTGAGGGAGGCCCCGCTCTCTCGCTTTCCCAGATGTTTAGTTCATTTCATTCCAATCTCCTTTGCATTATTGTAGCCTTTTTCTGTAACCTGTCAACTATGTGTCTGTCTATCACTGTTCTCTCCTCTCTGCACAGGCCATACAAACGCTTCACACCGCGTGGCTGCTGCCACTCTAATCTGGTGGACCCTGCGCGCACGACCCACGTGGAGTTCCAGGTCTCCGGCAGCCTCTGGAACTGCCGTTCTGCGGCCCACAAGGAAGAGTTAATCTCAGCCTATGCTACCCTCCAGTCCCTCGACTTCTTGGCGTGACGGAAACATGGATTACCACAGAAAACACTGCTACTCCTACTGCTCTTTCCTCGTCTGACCATGTGTTCTCGCATACCCCGAGGCACAGGAATCCTCATCTCTCCCAAGTGGACATTCTCTCTTTTCCCCCTGACCCATCTGTCTATCTCCTCATTTGAATTCCATGCTGTCACAGTCACTAGCCCATTCAAGCTTAACATCCTTGTCATTTATCGTCCTCCAGGTTCCCTTGGAGAGTTCATCAATGAGCTTGACGCCTTGATAAGTTCCTTTCCTGAGGATGGCTCACCCCTCACAGTTCTGGGTGACTTTAACCTCCCTACGTCTGCCTTTGACTAATTTCTCTCTGCCTCCTTCTTTCCACTCCTTTCCTCTTTTGACCTCACCCTCTCACCGTCCCCCCCTACTCACAAGGCAGGCAATACGCTTGACCTCATCTTTACTAGATGCTGTTCTTCTACTAATCTCACTGCATCTCCCCTCCAAGTCTCCGACCACTACTTTGTATCCTTTTCTCTCTCGCTCTCCTCCGACACTACTCACTCTGCCCCTACTCGGATGGTAATGTGCCGTCGCAACCGTCGCTCTCTCTCTCCCGCTACTCTCTCCTCTTCCATCCTATCATCTCTTCCCTCTGCTAAATCCTTCTCCCTCCGATCTCCTGATTTTGCCTCCTCAACCCTCCTCTCCTCCCTTTCTGCATATTTTGACTCTCTATGTCCCCTATCCTCCCGGCTAGCTCGGTCCTCCCCTCCTGCTCCGTGGCTTGACGACTCATTGCGAGCTCACAGAAGAGGGCTCCGGGCAGCCGAGCGGAAATGGAGGAAAACTAGACTCCCTGCGGACCTGTCATCTTTTCACTCCCTCCTCTCTACATTCTCTTCCTCTGTTTCCGTTTCTAAAGCCACTTTCTACCACTCTAAATTTCAAGCCTCTGCCTCTAACCCTAGGAAGCTCTTTGCCACCTTCTCCTCCCTGCTGAATCCACCTCCTCCTCCCCCTCCCTCATCCCTCTCTGTGGATGACTTCGTCAACCATTTTGAAAAGAAGGTTGACGACATCCGATCCTCATTTATTAAGCCAAATGACACCGCTGGTCCTAGTCACACTGCCCTACCCTATGCTTAGACTTCTTTCTCCCCTCTCTCTCCAGATGAAATCTTGCAACTTGTGACGGCCGGCCGCCCAACAACCTGCCCGCTTGACCCTATCCCCTCCTCTCTTCTCCAGACCATTTCCGGAGACCTTCTCCCTTACCTAACCTCGCTCATCAACTCATCCTGGACCGCTGGCCATGTCCCTTCCGTCTTCAAGAGAGCGAGAGTTGCACCCCTCCTCAAAAAACCTACACTCTATCCCTCCGATGTCAACAACTACAGACCAGTATCCCTTCTTTATTTTCTCCCCAAAACTCTTGAGCGTGCCGTCTCTAGCCAACTCTCCTGCTATCTCTCTCAGAATGACCTTCTTGATCCAAACCAGTCAGGTTTCAAGACTGGTCATTCAACTGAGACTGCTCTTCTCTGTGTCACGGAGGCTTTCCGCACTGCTAAAGCTAACTCTCTCTCCTCTGCTCTTATCCTTCTAGAACTATCCACTGCCTTTTATACTGTGAACCATCAGATCCTCCTCTCCACCCTCTCCGAGTTGGGCATCTCCGGCGCTGCTCACTCTTGGATTGTGTCCTACCTGACAGGTCGCTCCTACCAGGTGGCGTGGCAAGAATCTGTCTCCGCACCACGTGCTCTCACCACTGGTGTCCCCCTGGGCTCAGTTCTAGGCACTCTCCTATTCTCTCTATACATCAAGTCACTTGGCTCTGTCATATCCTCACATGGTCTCTCCTATCATTGCTACGCAGACGACACACAATTCATTTTCTCCTTTCCCCCTTCTGATAACCAGGTGGCGAATCGCATCTCTGCATGTCTGGCAGACATATCAGTGTGGATGTCGGATCACCACCTCAAGCTGAACCTCGGCAAGATGGATCTGCTCTTCCTCCCAGGGAAGGACTGCCCGCTCTATGATCTCGCCATCACGGTTGACAACTCCATTGTGTCCTCCTCCCAGAGTGCAAAGAACCTTGGCGTGACCCTGGAAAATACCCTGTCGTTCTCCGCTAACATCAATGCGGTGACCCGATCCTTCAGGTTCATGCTCTACAACATTCGCAGAGTACGACCCTACCTTACACAGAAAGCGGCACAGGTCCTAATCCAGGCACTTGTCATCTCCCGTCTAGATTACTGCAACACGCTGTTGGCTGGGCTCCCTGCCTGTGCCATTAAACCCCTTCAACTTATCCAGAACGCTGCAGCCCGTCTGGTGTTAAACCTTTCCAAGTTCTCTCATGTCACCCCGCTCCTCCGCACACTCCACTGGCTTCCAGTTGAGGCTCGCATCTACTACAAGACCATGGTGCTTGCCTACGGAGCTGTGAGGGGAACGGCACCTCCTTACCTTCAGGCTCTGATCAGACCCTACACCCAAATGAGGGCACTACGTTCATCCACCTCTGGCCTGCTAGCTCCCCTACCTCTACGGAGCACAGTTTCCACTCAGCCCAGTCAAAGCTATTCGCTGCTCTGGCACCCCAATGGTGGAACAAGCTCCCCCACGATGCCAGGACAGCGGAGTCACTGACCACCTTCCGGAGACACTTGAAACCCTACCTCTTTAAGGAATACCTGGAATAGTATAAAGTAATCCTTCTTCCCCCACCCCCCATAAAAAAAAGGTGGTTGTCCCACTGGCTATCATAACTTGAATGCACCAAATTGTAAGTTGCTCTGGATAAGAGCGTCTGCTAAATGATGTAAATGTAAAATGTAAATCTTAGTTAGGATGGAACGGCCTGTGATCCTGTTGCATGTCTTCTCTTTGAGGTAGAGGACCTTACAAACATTAGTTGAGCTGCAAGCACTCGTTGATGTAATTAAGCCTTGAGCCAATGTCAAAATCCCTCTCTCTCTCTGTAGTAATTAGTGAGACATCTAGAAAAGACAAAATCCATGGAGGACATTGAGAGTGAGATTTCCCACTGTAAAGACCGATGGCCTCCCTAAGATCAGTATTGCTGTATTAATTATCTCCCATTTAGAAAGTACATGTGATTGAATGGATAGGTTGAGTCGCGGATGTTCTCTCCTGATAGCTACATTAGTGCAATAGGATACTATCACAAAAGAGAAACCATGGCTTTCACTATCAACCCCCAACATACAGAGATTGAGACAGAGACAGAGACAGAGACGGCGCCCCATCCCCCGCCCCCAATCCCCGACTGGCCACCTCAGTCACGTCCTGAATTACTGGATTTAGGATTATAATCCAAGTCCAGCAGTGGGATTCAACATATTATTCTGCTTAATCCACACCAATCAGATACGTCTGAGTCTACGTTTAACCAGTCATTGAATTTTTACCATATAGAGGGTTTGGGGTCAGTAGCTACATACGGTTTACTTTAAATAAACAGTTCAGTGTTGACCTATGAAATAGATGGGCTAGAGGAAAATCTTCCACATGAAATCCATGAAGTTAAATAATTAACATTTATGACTTGGCAAGTAGTTGTAGTTCTGCAAACAGCTCTATAAAATACTTCAACATAACATGATGAGACATTACCATTTTTACAGCTGTCACAACACAACATAAGCCTTTAACATTTTTTTTTTTTTTACATTTTTAGTCATTTAGCAGACGCTCTTATCCAGAGCGACTTACAGTTTATTTTTTCATACTGGCCCCCCTTGGGAATCGAACCCACAACCCTGGCGTTGCAAACGCCATGCTCTACCAACTGAGCTACATCCCTGCCGGCCATTCCCTCCCCTACCCTGGACCCTTTAACTAGGGCCAGGGGGTTATCCTGACCACATGATATGACCAGAAAAAAATTGGGCCCTACTTATAAGCTATCTAGGGCCCAGAGTTTTTCCTAGCCAGGTGATATGGTCAGGAAAAACTCAGTGCCCTAAACAAGAGCTATAATAACCAGACAATAACCAGACAATCCAAACCAGACAATCCAAAAGTGTACACCAAAGCTTTATTTAAAAACTGCCCCTGGAGCTTCCAGAAAGGACAGTCAAGGGTGGGCCTCGGAGCTGCCCTCCTGGAAAGCCTGATCAGAAAGGCTATTATTGTACCCCCCCCCCTCCCGATGGGCTGACATCCTCTCCCCTTGGTGTGAGCTGAGTTGAGTTGCAGGAAGTTATTTTAAGGGGCGTGCCTGTCACAGCTGTTGTCTCAGTCACTAGAGTCCTGTTGGACCCTCTTCATTTCTCTCTCCCCGCTGGACCTGGTAAGTGGCTGTCCCATAGTCTTTTACATACTGTTCAGGTACAGAAATGACATGTTAAGTTTGAGTTTTTGGTGGTCTTAGTGCTGTGTTCCTGGCCTGTTTGGAGATGATGGTTGGTAAAAGAAAGCTGCTTCATGATATGTGGTGACAATGTTTCTTGCCGTTACTGTCAAGTCATAGTGACAAATTTGTTGTTCTAGTGCGACATGTGTAAAGATAAATATTCTGTACCATTGTGGTGCATTGAGTTGGTGGTAAAGTTTTCTGCCTTGTTGATTTGGCCTGAAGTCACATTGAATTATTCAAACACTGACGACAAGTGTTTTTTGATGTGCGTTCTTAATTCAACATCATCATCAGAGGTGATTATCTGTTCTAAATCATCAACTGAAACACACCGTCGTTTAGAAAATACATGTAATCTCATCAGTTGTATTAACAGCTAACACAGAATGAAGGCAGACATTCAGAACAAAATGTCAACTCTGTTTTCCCCACTTCCAGGTAAAAGTGCCATCATTGACATCAGTAGATACGTGTCTAGAATACAAAATAGCTTGACCATATTTAGAGGCTCCTAAAATAGAGCGAAGCCTCAGAACAGGTGCCATGTGCCTGCCCGCTGGAAGCAGGGAGGGGGAAGGGGGCTGCAGGGGGGGGACTAGGGCTAATTTTATCCTGATAAGCAGGGGGCAATCATGTTGCAATAGAGCTGGGGGATAAACAACCTCTGGATGCTTTAAGTTCATTCCGTATTAAATGAAATGGAGAAGTGGGAAGGGAGCCTGCTGGGCCTGATGTCTATTTGTGACAGGGCAGATTTAAATCCTCACAGTGTTATTGTGTCCTGACTCCTGACAGGCTACTGGGTTTTGTGCTATTTTTCACCAGCCCTAGTGATTTGTACCACATGCATCAGACTGAAAGTTACTTTGCTTGGAAGTAATACTCTAACTAGTATGAGGACAAACAGGAGCTTGAACTTCAGATTAAACATTAGAAATTTAAATATATTAGATTTCTTTCAAATATTGTTTACCTTTTAGTCTAACAAAAATATATTGCTGTTTGGAGATTTTGTTTTAGATGTAGGCAGCTGGTACACAGGTACCTTTGATTTTTTATAATGTTCAGTTTGTTTGTTTTATAATGTTTCTCTGTATCTGCCACATGGGTACTAGTATGGGTACTAACATCCTACATCTCCGTCCCCTCTCAGCCACATCTGTGAGAATGGAGACCAACGTCCAGTCTGCTGCAGAGGTCATTCCAGCCCAGACCAGTGTGACCCCACCACCGTCCCCAGTCACCACAGAGACCCAGGTCCCTCCACCCCAGGCCCAGGAGGCCCAGCACATGGACCCAATGGAGGAGTTTGGTCGTCAGCTGGAGGAGATCATCAACACCTATGGCTCCGCAGCCAACCTGATAGAGAAACAGTGCATCGTCCTGGAAACTGAGGATGTGGACGAGGAGGCCAGCAGAGAGCAAGGTGATGAAGTCACAGCCACCAAGGACGCCAGCACAGGCAAGGACACAAAGAAGTTGCTGAAAGCCTTAGGTGAGAGGTTTTAGGGTCACTGTTTTGTTTTGTTTTCCTCATGCATTATTTGGATTGTGCAGTTTTGCTTTTAAAGACAACATCCACACTGATTTATATGGAAAACATACAGTCAAGTCTTCACTAATCCTTACATTCAGCAGGAGAATGGTTTTGTTTTTGACACAGCTGTGCTGTAATCTGTTGTTGTTCGACAGCAGTTGCTGTGAGGGCAAAGACAGGGCAGTGTGCTGATGAGATAGCCCAGAGGAAATATGGTAGTCACAACTTAACAAGCAATCAATAGACAGAACATGTATCCCCAAAAAATATGGTATAGCTACTGCTCCTGAGAATAGATCTCATGGACTTATTTTAAAATATAGATTCATTCAGATGATGCATTCATTCTTAATCAGCATTCATTCTTAATCATCATCATATCCTTTCCAATCTAAGACAAAGTGCATGTTAGTTTACACTTAATCCCATTCATCATCACTTATCCACACAGGGAAGAGTAGACAAAATAGAAGTGTCATGCTGTTATTGTTTCTTAACATTACAGCAAGGTTGTGCCCCATGGTCAGATTCTGTTTTGAGGACAGGTTACACAAGTCCTGGGCAGAAGCAACACAAACATGTATTTTCTAACCAATAGCAGACAGTTGGTTTCTTTGCCACAACATGAAACCAGGCCAGCAATGGAGGGTTATAAACATCTTGCTTACGCATTTTCACCAATTTGATTTTATTTGCTTTTCCAAAGCCATAGGTGTCAAGAAGCAATAGCTTTCATGCTGGGGAAATGGCTTCAGAAGAGTATTTATTTTGAAGAAATTTATAGAATGATCCTTGGTGGGCTTTTTCCATCTTTATTTTTTAAATATCAGTCCTACTGAAAACAAACATTACATGATTTATCTCTATCAACACAGGAAAGGAGGGCATGCTACTAATGCAAAGTTTGAACAAGCTGCACACACCACAGGAGAAATTGGATGCTCTCCTCAAGAAGTATGCCGAACTGGTGAGTGTTCTCTTCTCCCCTCTATCAGCACACCAGAGAGTAGAGTCCTTCAGCACAGCAGTAACCAGCGGCAATAAAACAGACGAGGGAAAGTTAAAAGGAAACAAATAAAAACACACAAATGAATCAACGGGGAAAAACAGAGAGTGCCTGGTGAGATCTTGGAAGTGGTTCAGCCTCATACCGTGATGACCTAAATATTCTGCGCCTCCGGCAGCAAAAGCGAATCCGAACACAAGGTCATATGCCATATAATACAGCTCGCTATAACATGGCTCTTTAATTACTCGACAGAGATATCAGGAACACTATGCATTATGAATAATATTATCAAAGACATCAGCTATCACAGTCAGTTACATGTTTAATAAATGGATAGTTCCTTAGGCCATCCTACATATACAGTTCATAGTATCAACAGGATAAGGAAACAGAAAATCTAAATAGATGTCGAGTGTTGAGATTAAACAAATATATACCCATCCATCTCCACTCACCCAGCCATACCAAATCCTCTTAGGGCATTTTTTCTTATTTTAGTCACCCAGTCGGTTGTTGGCCAACAGCAGCTTAAAGAGCCCAAGTCTGTACAGAGCGCAGAGGCTGTGATCCAGTGTAATGTATATAGCACATCTGTCTGCGTGGTCCACAGCTGGAGGAGCGTTGGGGGGAACAGAAGCAGCTGAGGTTCCTCCAGAAGATGCAGGGCCACGTGGGGAAGGAGAGGGACCAGCTCCAGTACGAGCACAGCAGAGCCATCCTGGCCCGCAGCAAACTGGAGAGCCTCTGCAGGGAGCTCCAGAGGCACAACAAGACCCTCAAGGTGTGTGATCACTGCTCACTGCTCAGCTCAGCTTCAATTAACACTACACTAATCTAATCAACATAATGGGCTCAAGACCCTTGAGGTGGGTTCTCACAGTCCAGTCTAACTCCACTTTACACTAATCTACTCAACATTATGGGTTCAACACCCTCGGGGGGTGGGTGTTCATAAGACCAACTAGGTTTTGAACCCGGGTTATCCACATGACGTAAGACTATGTTAGCACATTGAGCTAAAGCCTATAGGCATTAGCTCTGAAAGAAAGCATGAATCAGGTCTCAAGCAAGATTACATTCCAAAGTTCAATTCAATTTAATTCAAAGTGCTTTATTGGCATGGGAAACATATGTTTACATTGCCAAAGCAAGTGAAATAGATAATAAACAAAAGTGAAATAAACAATAAAATGAACAGTAAACATTACACTCACAAAAGTTTCAAAGGAATAGAGACATTTCAAATGTCATATTATGGCTATGTACAGTGTTATAACGATGTGCAAATAGTTAAAGTACAAAAGGGAAAATAAATCAACATAAATATGGGTTGTATTTACAATGGTGTTTGTTCTTCACTGGTTTCCCTTTTCTTGTGGCAACAGTTCACAAATCTTGCTGCTGTGATGGCACACTGTGGTACTTCACCCAATAGATATGGGAGTTTATCAAAATTGGATTTGTTTTCACATTCTTTGTGTGTCTGTGTAATCTGAGTGAAATATGTGTTTCTAATACGGTCATACATTTGGCAGGAGGTTAGGAAGTGCATCTCAGTTTCTACCTCACTTTGTGGCCAGTGTGCACATAGCCTGTCTTCTCTTGAGAGCCAGGTCTACCTACGGCGGCCTCTCTCAATAGCAAGGCTATGCTCACTGAGTCTGAACATAGTCAAAGCTTTCCTTAAGTTTGGGTTAGTAACAGTGGTCAGGTATTCTGCCACTGTGTACTCTCTGTTTAGGGCCAAATAGCATTCCAGTTTGCTCAATCTTTTGGTAAATTCTTTCCAAAATGTCAAGTAATTATCTTTTTGTTTTCTCATGATTTGGTTGGGTCTAATTGTGTTGTTGTTGCTGTCCTGGGGCTCTGTGGAGTCTGTTTGTGCTTGTGAACAGAGCCCCAGGACCAGCTTGCTTAGGGGACTCTTCTCTAGGTTAATATCTCTGTAGGGGATGGCTTTGTTATGGAAGGTTTGGGAATCGCTTCCTTTTAAGTGGTTGTAGAATTTAACGGCTCTTTTCTGGATTTTGATAATTAGCGGGTATCAACCTAATTCTGCTCTGCATGCATTATTTTGTGTTTTACATTGTAAACTGAGGATGTTTTTGAAGAATTCTGCATGCAGTCTCAATTTGGTGTTTGTCCCATTTTGTAAATTATTGGTTAGTGAGTGGACCCCAGACCTCACAACCACAAAGGGCAATGGGTTCTATAACTGATTCAAGTATTTTTAGCCAGATCCTAATTGGGATGTTGAATTTGATGTTCCCTTTGATGGCGTAGAAGGCCCTTCTTGCCTTGTCTCTCAGATCGTTCGCAGCTTTGTGGAAGTTACCTGTGGCACTGATGTTTAGGCCGAGGTAGATATCATTTTTTGTGTGCTCTAGGGCAACGGTGTCTAGATGGAATTTGTGGTCCTGGCAAGAGGACCTTTTTTGGAACACTATTATTTTTGTCTTACTGAGATTTACTGTCAGGGCCCAGGTCTGACAGAAACTGTGCAGAAGATCTAGGTGCTGCTGTAGGCCCTCCCTGGTTGGGGACAGATGCACCAGATCATCAGCAAACAGTAGACATTTGACTTCAGATTCTAGTAGGGTGAGGCCGGGTGCTGCAGACTGTTCTAGTGCCCTCACCAATTCGTTGATATATTTGTTGAAGATGGTGTGGCTCAAGCAGCATCCCTGTCTCACCCCACGGCCTTGTGGAAAGAAATGTGTGTGTATTTTTGCCAATTTTAACTGCACACACCTATTCTACTACAGCTCAACCTCAGCCAACCCTATATTGTTGAATGGCAGGGGTCCAGATAGCTCAGTTTATCCTCAGTCAACTCTTATGGCGTATTTCTACAAAGGACTTACCCCAGTGTTTACCCAAAAGGCTCAGACTTTTGTGTTTCCACCTCCTTGACCTGGCCCCATTGTCTCATCTTGCCATGGTCTCAGTGGAACTGCTCTGACTTGCAGCCAAGGCTCTGGCCACTAGTACCTTTTTGGCTGGCATTAACATAACAATGGCTAACTGTGAACATGGGTTAACAACACCTTCCACGGTTAACACCTTCTCACAAAGAACTGTCTTGATTGTTGTTGATTCTGCTCTTCAAAAGTCTTTAGTGTCAGCCCTAGCTATGTTTAAACACAGTTCCCAAAACATAACACTAGAGCTCACATTAACATAATCACTGGCGACACACTGGTGCTTTATTGGAAAAAGCCCATTACTGTATGTTTGATTAACTGATCAAGTTTCTATTGATGTCTTGCTGTTGGTAGCTGTGATTATTGAAACTCAAATATAAATAGACTTGATGAGGGAAATAAGACATTAAATGCAGGAGAGTCAAAATGTTACTGTCAATGCCTGTCAACTATTCTCATTGGGTAAATCCATTTGAATTCAATCACTTTTTGACAGCATCCCTTTTGATTTAAACAAAACTTTCAATACATGTTTGCCCATGGAAGAAGTGGTCAGAAAGTGACTTTTTGGACCTGAATGCCAAAACATTCAGGAGATAAAGGTGCTCAAAGTTGACCCATTTTGCATACCACACCATACCATGAGACATCCATGTCTCCATCATTGGAAAAAATAAACGGTTGAGTTGGATATCACTTAAACGCTTACAAACAGGGTTGTCAAACTATGTTTAATTTCTTGATTATTATTATTATTTTTATTCGCATATGTTGTAGCTTAGACCCTACTTTACATCATCTGAGGTTTTTGTGTTGTGCCCGCCATTGGTTGAGACACAACATGCTCTTGAATAGATGGTGGGTGTCATTTGCGCCACTCCTGAGTGGCGCAGTGGTCTAAGGCACTGCATCGCAGTGCTAACTGTGCCACTAGAGATCCTGGTTCGAATCCAGGCTCTTTCGCAGCCGGCCGCGACCGGGAGACTCATGGGCGGCGCACAATTGGCCCAGCGTCGTCCAGGGTAGGGGAGGGAATGGCCGGCAGGGATGTAGCTCAGTTGATAGAGCATGGCGTTTGCAACGCCAGGGTTGTGGGTTCGATTCCCACGGGGGGCCAGTATAAAAAAATATGTATTCACTAACTGTAAGTCGCTCTGGATAAGAGCGTCTGCTAAATGACTAAAATGTAAAATGTAAATGTAAATTTCAATCATAGAAATATAATTAATAGAGTGGATCTATCCCTTCAGACCACTGCAATTTAGCTGGTACACCATTGAAATTGAATTGAAATTGTAACTTCTAATTACTACCACAAAGACAGCCACCGATCCACCCACCGTCGAATTTCAACTTAAATCTATATTTCTATGATTTCAATAGGTTTCCTATGGAGGATTGACAGTTCAATTTAAAACAACAAATGTTCCCATTCAAGGCAACATTATCTGATGTGTAGACCTCCACCCATCTTTCTGGTACCATTTGAAAGTTGCAATTTCTGTATTCAAAAGCATGTTGTGTCTCAACCGATGGCAGGCACAACACAAAAACCTCAGATTATGTAAAATAGGGTCTAAACTACAACATCTGTGAATATGAAAAATCAGAGTTCACGCGTGATTTTCTTTTGCCGTTAAAGGTACAAAATAATTGACCAAATGTATATTTACATTTTTGTTTTTCAAGAAATGTGAAAATAGTTTGACAACCCTGTTTGTAAACTTTTAAATGATATCAATCAATTTATTTTCCAGTGATGAAGACATGGATGTCTCATCGTATGGTGGGGTATGCAAAATATGTCAACTTTGAGCACCTTTATTTTTTGAATGGTTTGGCATGGGCAAATATGTATGGAAGGTTTCATTCAAATTAAAAGGGGTGCTGTCAAAAAAAGATTGAATTCAAATGGCTTTACCCCGCTGTAGAAATGTGCTTAAAAAAACAATTCTACTGGTATTGTCATTTGAAAAGTTGGATGGTTAAAGCGGCCACTCCAAAACGCCTTGACTCTCTACCCTGAGTCAGAGGGATCTCAATGTGAGAGGGTCATAGCTCAATTAGCCCTTACATGGTTGAGTGTCCTGTTACATCTATAAATAATAGATTGACATACGGTATGTTTAGTCATCCCATTATAAGTGGTTCGTCTGTAACATTTCAAAGAAAGGGCATGACCAACGGCACTACCTAATTTGGGCAAAGGTCACAGGTTTAGCACAATTAAAGATTTCTATTGTGAGTTGACACATTGCCACTGCTGTTCTTCCTCTCAAAAGGTGAAACCTCTTCAGCTAAACCGTAGGTATTGATCAAGTTTATCCCTTAATCGACATCAATTAAACCACTGTTCACTTATCCTTTGATTCACAGGCAATAGTTGTGTACACAGTTTAATTATTGGCTATTTGATTTGTTTATGAATCATACATCACCCTATAAATCAATGGCATAATGCTCAATGATCTGTAAACAAATGGTCCCTTTTTACTGGATCAGTATTCTATCTATTGTGTAACCCTTACACAATCTCTGGGACATATTGAATCTCCTGTTCTGCTCCCCTTGGGAGGTAATTGGACTCCCTGTCTCTCTCCCTCTCTCCCCCTTGAGGTCCTCTGTCATCTCTCACCGCCACAAGGCACTGTGTGTGTGTGTGTGTGTGTGATTCACACTCAGGCCCTGGGAGGAGACCCCTCAGACACAGGGCACCGGTGATGCGGCTCTCTGACAAGAGGGATGGTTTCATTGGGCGTTTGTGGCATCTGCCCTTCGACTATAAATCAAAGGCGAGAGAAAGAGGCTCTAATGCCTTGACCCCTCCATCTCTTTCTGCTCCGTCTAACATCTTCACATTTCAATATATAGAGGAAATCAGGGATTATCATTTGACTATTGGGTATAATCGATTAATATGCAGATTTGTGTAAATAGCCAGCTCTTTGTACATCCTAAATCAAACAAACAATGTGCAAAAATCTTATTGTAAAGTAAACATGAATCCTACACGCTAACAAAAGTAAATCAAAATGTGCTGATCTGAATGGGAATGTGACAGCTGTTGAAAGTGGAAGATCATGTCTTGTCATCTGGTAGCGCCTTATGTAAGAGAGAGTCTGAGGAGGCGTGGCATTAATGTGCTTTGCTGCTTCAGTGGTAAGAGCTCTGTCTTTGTGCACTTATCGGCGGGTGTAGTTGAGTTACAGTACATTTCCCATGTTGGAGCTTATGCCTGTGTTGTTTGTAAACACAGTCAAATAAACAGCCATGTCTTAAGATAGAAACTCTGGCAATGCTTGGTTCGCTTCTCAGTAACCTGAGTCTGGAAACTGGCATTTCACAATCCTGACCCCAGCAACAAATTTTTTTTTGTGACTAACTTTTTATTTACTTTTTTCTTAAAAACATTTTTGGGGTGGGGTATACAGGTACCAAAAAACAATAAAAGAAATACATACAAATATAACCCCAACACTGTCGATAATTCTAATGTTATAACTTCTAATAGTAACTGTATGCACTGGTTAAATGGGAGAGAATGAGGTGGTTGTAATCTTAAAGCCAACATTTTTTTGGCCGCAATGCTGTCTGCCAGCAGTAATCTTCTCTGATTGATTGAGAGATTCAAGGGGCTATCATCGTTAAGTAAGATAATAGATGCAAAGCATTGAATATTTAAATTCATGCACTTCTAAATTAATTTTGTAACTTTGCCCCAGAAGCATTTAACTGCAGGGCACTCCCACATCATATGAAAGGAATGTGCCTACCTGATTTCAGGACACAGTGAACAGTTGGGAGTAGGTGCCAATTTAATCGTAAAATGTTTAATGGGTGTTAAATACAGTCAGTGAACAAACTTAAATGTATAAATTGATAGTTCGGATTACGGAATGCCAAGGTCATATTTTTCAATATTAAAGTTAAAGGGTTGTTCAGATTCAATTAGATCTGTGGACCATGATTTTTTTAATGGCTTGCTCAGAATATGAACTTTCCAAAAGTTGTTTATATATTATAGAGATCAGTCCTTTCGGGAGGCCAGATAATTTATTCATAAATCCCATCAATGGATGGTTCGGTAGTTGGGTTACCAAGGGACTCCATAGTTGTAAATATAAATAAAAAACATAGTTGTAAATATAGAAAAAAGGAGTTGCCTGGTAATGTGTGTGTCTTTCAAATCTTGGAATGTTCTCAAACCATTACTGTCCATGATATCAGTAAGGGTACGGATTCCCCATTTGGACCATTGGGGGGATGCAAAAGGCCACCCTCCAGATCGCAAGGCATTGTTGTGAAATATTGGAGTATGGGCATGCCATTTTGATTCCATTTTTTTAAATCAATTTTACGGATGGGGTGAAATGCTAGTGCCTGGAAATACAATTTACATTTTTGTATGGATAGTCTTCCTACGTCTTTCTCTCTTTGTAAATGTGTTAATTTTATCTGTGATCATTTACCTTCCCATATACATTTTCAAACCACACTATGAATGTTATCCCAATAGCCAGAAGGGGAAGCCATGGGAAGCATTGAACTACAGAAATTCAGCCTTGGCAATATATTCATTTTGACAATAGATATTCTGTCGGTTAAAGAAACTTGGATATTAGTACATCTACTGAGGTCGGATTGAATTGATTTGAGCGTACTGTTAAAATTTCTGGCAATGGTTTTATCTAAGGAAGGAAATATATATTTTCCCAAATATTTAAAAGTGGAGATGGAGTCCTCCATCGGAGTCTTGAGAGGCAGTAGGGGGTGAATTTGTTAGATACATTTTATAGCTTGAGATTAAGCTGAATTTATCCATGAGCTTCAATGTGTTTGGGAGCGATTGAGATACATTGGCTAGATATAGTAAAATATTGTCTGTGTGTAATGAGATGAAGTGATCAGATTTTAGGGAAATGTATGTTATTTCCGTCGATTGATACATACAGTGGGGAGAACAAGTATTTGAAACACTGCCGATTTTGCAGGTTTTCCTACTTACAAAGCATGTAGAGGTCTGTAATTTTTATCATAGGTACACTTCAACTGTGAGAGACGGAATCTAAAACAAAAATCCAGAATATCACATTGTATGATTTTTAAGTAATTAATTTGCATTTTATTGCATGACATAAGTATTTGATACATCAGAAAAGCAGAACTTAATATTTGGTACAGAAACCTTTTTTTTGCAATTACAGAGATCATACGTTTCCTGTAGGTCTCGACCAGGTTTGCACACACTGCAGCAGGGATTTTGGCCCACTCCTCCATACAGACCTTCTCCAGATCCTTCAGGTTTCGGGGCTGTCGCTGGGCAATACGGACTTTCAGCTCCCTCCAAAGATTTTCTATTGGGTTAAGGTCTGGAGACTGGCTAGGCCACTCCAGGACCTTGAGATGCTTCTTACAGAGCCACTCCTTAGTTGCCCTGGCTGTGTGTTTCGGGTCGTTGTCATGCGGGAAGACCCAGTCACGACCCATCTTCAATGCTCTTACTGAGGGAAGGAAGTTGTTGGCCAAGATCTCATGATACATGGCCCCATCCATCCTCCCCTCAATACGGTGCAGTCGTCCTGTCCCCTTTCCAGAAAATCATCCCCAATGAATGATGTTTCCACCTCCATGCTTCACGGTTGGGATGGTTTTCTTGGGGTTGTACTCATCCTTCTTCTTCCTCCAAACACCGCGAGTGGAGTTTAGACCAAAAAGCTCTATTTTTGTCTCATCAGACCACATGACCTTCTCCCATTCCTCCTCTGGATCATCCAGATGGTCATTGGCAATACAATTGTAGACCTGCACAAGGCTGGGATGGGCTACAGCACAATAGGCAAGCAGCTTGGTGAGAAGGCAACAACTGTTGGCGCAATTATTAGAAAATGGAAGAAGTTCAAGATGACGGTCAATCACCCTCGGTCTGGGGCTCCATGCAAGATCTCACCTCGTGGGGCATCAATGATCATGAGGAAGGTGAGGGATCAGCCCAGAACTACACGGCAGGACCTGGTCAATGACCTGAAGAGAGCTGGGACCACAGTCTCAAAGAAAACCATTAGTAACACACTACGCCGTCATGGATTAAAATCCTGCAGTGCACGCAAGGTCCCCCTGCTCAAGCCAGCGCATGTCCAGAACCCGTCTGAAGTTTGCCAATGACCATCTGGATGATCCAGAGGAGGAATGGGAGAAGGTCATGTGGTCTGATGAGACAAAAATATAGCTTTTTGGTCTAAACTCCACTCGCCGTGTTTAGAGGAAGAAGAAGGATGAGTACAACCTCAAGAACACCATCCCAACCGTGAAGCATGGAGTTGGAAACATCATTCTTTGGGGATGCTTTTCTGGAAAGGGGACAGGACGACTGCACCATATTGAGGGGAGGATGGATGGGGCCATGTAACGCGAGATCTTGGCCAACAACCTCCTTCCCTCAGTAAGAGCATTGAAGATGGGTCGTGGCTGGGTCTTCCAGCATGACAATGACCCGAAACACACAGCCAGGGCAACTAAGGAGTGGCTCCGTAAGAAGCATCTCAAAGTCCTGGAGTGGCCTAGCCAGTCTCCAGACCTGAACCCAATAGAAAATCTTTGGAGGGAGCTGAAAGTCCGTATTGCCCAGCGACAGCCCCGAAACCTGAAGGATCTGGAGAAGGTCTGTATGGAGGAGTGGGCCAAAATCCCTGCTGCAGTGTGTGCAAACCTGGTCAAGACCTACAGGAAACGTATGATCTCTGTAATTGCAAACAAAGATTTCTGTACCAAATATTAAGTTCTGCTTTTCTGATGTATCAAATACTTATGTCATGCAATAAAATGCAAATTAATTACTTAAAAATCATACAATGTGATTTTCTGGATTTTTGGCAGATAATCGGCAGTGTATCAAATACTTGTTCTCTCCACTGTAACTTTCAAAATACAGAAATCATCCCCGTATGATGCATTTTGCATATATGATGGTGTGTTTTGCATCATATGATGCAAAATGCATCACACGGCGATGATTTCTGTATTTTGAAAGTGACATATCTTGAAAACTTGATTGCTGACAAGCAAAACATGTTGGGACTTTGTCAACAATGGAATAATGAAACTAATATCAAAATATCGTTTTTAGGTGGTTTTCCTATAAGCAGGTATCTGCTCTATACTATGCACAGTATGGGACCAAAAATCGGCCCTGGCATTTCTAACACACCGGCCCATTCCTTTCCTTGAGGCCTCCAAACTGGCCCATTATTTTCCTTGAGGCCGCCATTATTAGCCAGATCGTTAGCATTTTGCACAAAAATACAAAAATTAGACAGGCCCACTGGGATAGAAATGGACCAGCACATCTGGCGTTTGCCCGAAATGCCAGATGGCCAATCCGCCCCTGCGTCTGAATGTCTCTCTCTCTCCCGCTCTCTCCCTCCCTCTCCCGACTTCTCCCTCTCTCTTTCCCTTCCCTCTCCCTCTCTACTTCTCTACCTCCCTCATTCTCTCAGGAGGAGACCCTAGCACGTTGTCGTGAGGACGAGGAGAAGCGCAGGGAGATAACCACTCACTTCCAGAGCACACTGACAGACATCCAGGCTCAGATCGAGCAGCATAGTAACCGCAACAACAAGCTGTGTTTGGAGAACACCAACCTGGCAGACAAACTCAAACACATCATCAGCCAGTACGAGCAGAGAGAGGAGGTACACGACAAGAATACTTAACCTTAACCTCACTGTTACATGTCTGTATGTCTGTACACCCTCATCCTTGGCCTACTAACACCATGCATCCGGGCTCCAGTCATGGAGTCATTTGATAACCAAAGCTGTTATTGATCATGATTAATCTGTCCCCAAAAGGAACAAACGTCTCTACAGGAAATAGACACTTGTACCTCATGTTCAGTGAGATAGCTGTGACAAAAGAGTTGAGTCAGATCTTTGAATAAAGACACTTAGAGGTATTATTGCTCCCTACGGACATCAATAGTCAGAGATATAGCCAGCAAAGGGTGCTCATTGAATAACACTATAGCATGTCATATGTAATCACACAACAATGCACCAGGGAAATGACAAGCCTAAAGTGACGCACGAAAACCAGGATCTGTCATGCAGTTGGTTGCCACTGAGGCTGTTGCAACACGTCTGCTGCCCACACACAGCTGGGGCTGGTGTTGTAAAACATAAGAAGATTTCAATTTCTTATCATTTGTATTTTTTTACTAGTGGAGTTTCTAATAATTTGTCTTGAGTGCCATCTGCTGGTTGTAGTCAGTATAAACACTTAAGAAAATTTTGATTATTCGATATCCAAATAACATCTGTGTCTTATTCAAATAAGTGATTAGATCCACACATTGCAATGATGAACAAGCAATTATGACTTAAAATTTATACAAGTTGATATTTGATTGTTGGATAAATGCTGAGAAGAATTCAGTATGAAAAAAAAAATTATGCACTCACTAACTATAAGTCGCTCTGGATAAGAGTGTCTGCTAAAATGACAAAAATGTTTTAAAAAATCCAGATGGACATAAATGAACTCTGCTGCCTTTGGCAGAAAACTTGTGGATTATGCCACACTGTTTATGCATATAGATATTTTCCATAGTACAGAAAATAGATTAGTCTTACACGCAAAATAAACAATATCTATAGAAACAATTATTTTCCCCAATTGAACTAATCTGGGGTCAGTATTCTTATCAGAATGTGTGCCCTGATAATACTAATAATAATAATAATAATAATAATAATAATCCTGATAAAGACAATACTTTATAACCATTTAATAAGGCTTTTACATTTGCCCTCCTGATAAATGTGAAACAATAATTCAGTAAGTCCCAGGTTTTAATTGGTTCTCCACCCACTATTGTGTCTGTTCTCACAGGCATCATAAACAGTGTCTGAACTTTCCAATGAAAGACTGTAGGCAAACAACAATGGTCTTAATTACTTATCAAGGCACATGTTTATGACCATTTCTCATAGACAGACATAGGATAGCATTGGTGGTTTAAGCTAGATAAAATGTGTGAAATGTATCCTAATTGATTGAGTTATGACCTGTACAGAATGTCTCAGAGGCCCTTCTCAAACCAAAGTGTCTAATCTAGTGTGTCATCTCACCTTGTCTATCACTCAGAGCTTGGAGAAGATCTTCAAGCACCACGACCTGCAGCAGAAGCTGTCTGATGCCAAACTGGAGAAAGCCAACGCACAGCTGCAGGAGGCTGAGGAGAAGCACAAGAGAGAGAAGGAATATGTGAGTTACTATACTTTAACCAATTGTTACAGACCTTACCCACAAAGTACTGTAAAGCAATGTAAATATAGTAGAGAAACATTTGCCTTACTTTTTATTCTGGTTTACTTTCAAGTCTACAACCAATAAGTCTTATTGTGCATGTGATGCTCACACAAATCAGTATTGTAACCATTCACTGTCTCTGTTGTTAGCTGCTTAGGGAGGCAATTGACAAAACAAAGAAATGCTACACATTGAAGGAGCAAGAGTTGCAGTTGAAGAAAAAGGTACATTTGTGCTTTGCGTGTGTTTTGTTTTTAACCAGTTACTGGTACACGCAGCTGAGTGGAAACTACAAGTTAAACTTCTGAGAGAGCAAGAGACAGTCATGCAGGCTCAGGTGAATATATCCAATGTGGTGTCAAGCACTCTTATTCAAACCATTTCTTTCAGGTCCAAGCCTACCAAAGGCAAGCACAGTCCCATTAAGGACTGTTAAGGTCCTCTGGATTGCTCAATGTGTCGTAAAGGCCCAATGCAGACATTTTTATCTCAATATCAAATCATTTCTCGGTTACAATTAAGCACCTTACTGTAATAGTTTGCCATTAAAATTGTAAACAAAAAAATAGCTTTTTAGCAAAAAACTATTTCTCAAGCAAGAATTTTGCTGACTGTTTGGGAGTGATCTGAGTGGGGCGTGGGAGGGATATGTGATGTGAAAACTAGCTGTTGTTGGCAGAGAGGTTTGGAACTCTCTTTGTTATTGGTCTATATTAACTTATACCGCCTGGTGATGTCACCAGGCAAGCTAAAACTCCACCTACGCAAAACCTGCTGATTAGAAGGTCCTGTGTAGATTGTATTTTCAACCAGCAACTATCAGGAAATAACACTGATAACATATCTTCACACTTTTACAGTGTTAGTTTTATCAGCTGTTGTCCAATATGATACAAAACGCAGGAAAACCTGATTTTTGACTGCACTGGGCCTTTAAAAGACAACTACTCTATTTCTGTATATTTGTCCATTGGGATCTAAAGCCCTTCAATATCGCCCCAAAACATTGGCAAAGTGACCTCCTCATTTGAGAGTAATCCCAAATCGGATTATCCTCTCTCATAACTATATGGCTTGATGTACATAGCACTTGATATGAAAGGAAGGAATACCTGTTAGCTGAGCTGTACACATTTTTTCTGTACACGGTTAAACCAGCAAAGAGAGTAGTCATAATTCCCATCATAGCAGCAGGCAAGGCAAGAGCAACTTCCTCTCCCTGAACCAGCAGGATGACCCACTGCATCATGGGAATACAAAAAAAGCTCTTGCTATGCAATTAATGTGACTAGGAGTCGATAAAAGTGATGATTTCATCAATCCAATGCAGCACTGTTCTTTTTTCTGTTGGAACATTGAGTGCATACTCCAGTACCATTGATTATTCCATTTGAAAATGATGATACAATTACAATTGCTATGTTTATTGGATGTGGTACAATCATTGTATGGGTGCAAGTAAATTATACAATGAAATTAGTTGGGCTGACACACACTATGTTAAATGGTAAATCATACAAAAATAATTTATGAATCCAATGGAAAAGCATTTATCGCTGACAGTTTATATGGTTATAATTAATTGCAGAGAAACCTTGCCATTATTTAAAGCCTTGGGTTTTCTCAATAGAAATATTAGCCTGGCTCCCAACTAAATCAAATTACAAAGTAATAATAAAACATAAATTATGTTAATATTGCATTTCAGTACCCATACAATTCATCACACATTTGTACCACGGCATGTCACATTTCCAATCTAATTAACTGGGAATGTCAACCTTCATTTCTCTGTCCAATAACAGACTTAGATTTAGATCACACAAGGAAATGGCCAAATCAGCCTTGAGGCAGAAACTGATCTGTATCAAGTGAGCTTTTCTGAAATACAAAACATATTCAAGCAAAAGCCTTTCCTCTTTTATAAAGCGTGTCAAATCAGTTGTTTTGCTTTTGTGCCAAACCAGTAACTTCCAAATAAAGACAGTTGATCTCAACAGGGTGGCTAGCAGAGACATGTTTGAATATTGGAGACAGGCTGTGTGTGCAATGCTGCTTTCCCCTGAGGGCCTCCAGAGATTAGCCTGTTAACTCTAGCTGGACAGACTGCCTGGCAAGGCATACCAACAATGAGTGGCCTTATTGGAAGTGCTTATTTGTCAGGGAAAATATACACAGAGAAAAGATGAGTCAGTCAGCCCCCTCATGAATGACCAAATGTTTGCTGAACCCCCCTGGCTCTTCCTCTCTCAACTCCCTCTAAACTTTAGAACATTTATTTCTGGTGTGAAATAATGTTAAAATCATAGATCTGATTGTTCCTGAGGTGAATAGATGCATATTATTGCTACATGTGAAGTCAACATGCCATCTCCTGAAATACATTTCTGGATTTCTCTCCTGTTTCTCTGCAGCTTGTTCTGTACTCCCAGAAGTTTGAAGAGTTCCAGACTACGTTGTCTAAGAGCAACGATGTGTACGCCAGCTTCAAAAATGAAATGGAGAAGGTATTTGGCATCCTTAAAATAAAATCATCCTTCCTTAAAATATACAGTGTATTTTTAGGGCCAAGTGCTTGGAGGTGATATAAGGTCAGCATAATCCTGAAATGAGAAAACAGCTATATTCTGGAGGGATTGATTGAAGCTTCTATCAAACATATTCAGAATGATGGTTACATTTTCAGATACGTTTTAACACAACAAACATATTGCTTCATAGATGACAAAGAAGATGAAGAAACTAGACAAAGAGTCTAATGTTTGGAAGACCAGATTTGAGAGCACTAACAAGGCTCTCTCTGAGATGATTGAAGAGGTAACTACTTATCTATAACACATACAAAAGTGTCAGCCTTCATTCAAATGAGCTACAACAAGTTTAACTGCATGAACAACAGTGTCCCTGACTCTCTCTGTTCCACTCTCTTGTCCCACAGAGGACTCTGAAGGAGAATGAGTATGAGATGTTCGTTGTGAAGATTGACAAGCTGGAGAGGCTCTGCCGAGCACTCCAGGACGAGAGGAAGATCCTGTACTCCAAGATCAAAGGCATCCGCCAAACCCCTAACGCCCCCGAGGGGACACCCAAGGACGAGACACAGGAGCAGGCCCATGAACCAGTCCACAGCCTCATGGACATTGTTGAGGAGCCAGAGATGACAGAGGAGATGGCCCGTCTGAGAGCTGAGCAGAACAGGCTGGCGGAATTCGCCGCCTCCCTACTGGCCCCGTCCACAGGAGACAATGATGACGATGACTCTGACAGCGAGGAAGAGCCAGAGTCTACAGAACCGGCTGAGGCCCAGAAGATCTCTGAACCAACACAGGCCCCAGAACAAATACAGGTAGAGGCACCAGCAAAGGCAGAGGAACCAGTACACGCAAAGGCACCAGCACGGGCTCCCTCACAGGTAGAAGCACCAGCACAGGCTCCCTCACAGGTAGAACCACCAGCACAGGCTCCCTCACAGGTAGAAGCACCAGCACAGGCTCCCTCACAGGTAGAACCACCAGCACAGGCTCCCTCACAGGTAGAACCACCAGCACAGGCTCCAGCACAGGTAGAAAAACCAGCACAGGCTCCCTCACAGGTAGAAGCACCAGCACAGGCTCCCTCACAGGTAGAAGCACCAGCACAGGCTCCCTCACAGGTAGAAGCACCAGCACAGGCTCCCTCACAGGTAGAAGCACCAGCACAGGCTCCCTCACAGGTAGAAACACCAGCACAGGCTCCAGCACAGGTAGAAGCACCAGCACAGGCTCCAGCACATGTAGAAGCACCAGCACAGGCTCCAGCACAGGTAGAAGCACCAGTCCAGCCAGAGACCCCAAAACAGCCAGAGCCCTCTGCCAAGAAGCAGACACCAAAGAAGAAGAATGCAAGGAAGACCAGCTGAACCGAAAAATGTGTCATTGTGTGAGCGTTAGTACTGTAGTCCCTGTGCCTGGTGTTATGGTTGAGTTGAGATATCTAATCCAGCTTGGTCTGTCTATATGCTGGTGTATCTAAAGTCATGGCATGCAGTAGAAGTATGTTTAAATTGTATAGCAGATGACGACAGAAAGAGATGTACTGTTTTTTACCGTTTAGAAATACACTGGCATAACCAAAGAATGGGTAGCAAGGTTATTCAGGACATTTCAGCCTAAATACCTTCCAATGCCAAATGTGGCCTTGCAAAACAGCATCATAAAAGCCACTGTCTTTTTTTTCATCTGAACCCTATAATGTAACTTCAATAAATATCTTATTGTAGACTATGTAGACATGTCGGTGCTCTTTGGATTGTTTTTTATAGGCCCACTTCTCTGTTTTACACAATAAAAGCTCATATCTAATATGACCAAATATTGGAAGATGGTATGTAGCTAGATAATGGACCAGTCTCTCTCTCTGTATGAATTGTTAACTGGACATCACAAATGGCTTAGAAGACACGTGGCCACTCTTTCACAATAATTTAGGGATGGATCCTTACAGTAGTTTCCATGACAACCCAACCAAAAAAGCTAAGTGGACAGTGCACATTTCCTTTTTTAATACAATCTGTGTCAGACAGTCTCTATCCCCAGAGTGTGTTGTTTTTGCCAGGCCGTGGTCTGTCTGTGTTCTGGGAAAATAACTGAGTTACACAAACTCTCCTCCACCAAGGACACAACAGTAGGCTGACAGGCACCAAGTCGCCATGTCAACTCCATCTGCCTATCCGTTGAGGAGGACATGAATGTATACATGATAATAATAGTGCAGAGGACCCTGGGTTTTTAATAAATACAGATCAGGGTTGAGTGCCCCAGGGAAAACAAATTAGACCTGCCACTGATCAATTTGAATACCATGTTTATTAGGGGTGTAACGATTCGTTTTAACAACGATTCGATTTGTATCACGATTCGTGGTTGTCGATTCGATTCAAGGACGATATTGGTTCATTTAGAACGATACGATCCGAAACGATTCAGTGACTTGAAATCGATTCAGTAACCTTTTAGCCAAAAATTCAACCAGTGTGACTGAAATAAATACCTGGATACTGGACAGTGCAGGTGAAGTTTCCTAGATTCCTGTTTCTTGTAAGGACCGCAATGGTGGCTTGATAATTTCTCGCTCGTCGGCTTCTCCTCTGTCGTCCGCCATGCTATGTTTTGTTGTCTTTGCGCCTTTGCGCTGCTGCTGGCGCGGGGCGATGACGTCACGGATAGGCAGACTGAATCGAGTAATGTTTAAAGCCTTTATCATTAAAAGTGCTAAGAAAAAACATCCATATAAAGTCTGACGTGCTTAAATCCAATGGGTTATTTCCTAGTATCGATAAAATCGATTTATTACATTTTAAAACGATGTTAGATTGATATATGTTGTCCAAAAGGCCAACTCGCCGAGCACAGATCGATGTAGTTGGATCATAGGAATATAAATCGATACATCGATGTAGTAGATGGATCGTTACACCCCTAATGTTTATGTTCTGGTTGTATTACTGGCTCAGCAGATTGCACACCACACAAAAATGGTATACAATATCTACCGCTAGGACAAAAGGACCTAGTTGTCACTCAATGAAGAAACTGACAAAAGTAGAACTAACTCGAGTCCTATGCAATGTCCCACTTTATGATCCTATCTACACCAACCTATGGAAGTAATCTTGCCGCCTGAAATAGCCTCTGAAAACATACACATGATGTGAGTAAATACACAGTTTCACCAAGAGGATGACAAAGCTTCAAAGATTTCCCATCAATCCTATTTTACTTCATGGTTGTGACCACCAGCTGGGGACTTTGAAACCATTCACAATTCCACCAAAACCTCCACACTGACTTCCCTCTCATTGGTAATCCCATGTACATTACTGTGGATTTATACAGTATGTCTAAACACACTCACATCAGCTTTAATGATCTCAGGAAAATTAATTGCATACTTCAGTTTAAAGAGCACTTGCACATGATAGTCTCAGAGATTATTGTTTCAACCAAGAGCCTATAGAAGTAATTTTATCCTGAAGGGTGAATATTGAATTAGGTAGGCCAGGGAGGGGCAACTTTGATGGAGGTGTGGGCCCCAAAAAATCTGAACTTATCATGAGGGGCCGCGGGTCTGCCTACCCACATCCATAGCCACACATGCAGTCAGAGCCGGCCCTAGCCTTTTGGGGGCCCTAAATGAAATTTTGTTTGCGAGCAAAACATTTTAGCAGACCCCTTCTTGACAGCGGAGAGAAAAAATGTAAGTTTTAGAGTTCATTTCCTGCAATTCTACACATTTTGCCATGGGGCGTAGAGAAAATGTTTCAGTTTTAAAGCAAGTTTGCTGCAATTCTACTCATTTTGCCATAGGGCAGAAAGAAAGATTAGCAGTTTTACAGCTCATTTCCTGCAATTCTGCTCATTTTGCCATTGGGTGGAGAGAAATGTTTGCAGTTTTGAATATGATATCTGAGTGAGAGTTACTAATAAAATAGTAGTAGGTGGATTGTTTGTCCAGATCTGCAATAGGCTAACTAGGAATCATACCTCACATAAAAACATTCAAAGCTGCCTCAATTTTTCATATGAATCTCAATAACAAATAGGAATAGCTGATAGGCAGCGGAGAGGCCAGGTGCATCATTGCACATGAAAGAACAGTGAAGATACGACACACACAGCTCACAAATCTCCCCTATTGATCTTGTTTAGGGACAATACAATTATCCTACAACACCACAATGCAATTAATCATTGCATTATTGTTTTCAAGTGAGTACAACATTCTAGCCTACTCTAGGCTGCAGTGAAAATGTCATTTGAATAACGGCGCAAAAGCCCTGGGATTTGAATGTTTTATTCGATTTGGATCAGTTGTGGGTCTACTCTACAGTCTATAAGGTATAGAAAGGCACAGTAGCACTCCAGGCTGTATTTTTACTTCTGATACTGAATGCGCTGTCTGTTGCTGATCATCACTCTCCCAAGTCATCCTATAATAATGTGACCACATATGCTCCCCGCAGGCCCAGTTATTCAGGAAAGCTTAACACATGCTCTGCCTCCTCCCCAATCCGAACAGCTATTACCCGCGCACCTAGAACCTAATGCTTCAATATAGCCTAAATAATTATCATTTAACTTTTTTTATGTATTACCTTTTATATGTGTCGTAAACACAACCAGTCACAATGTTTTAATTTGATTAGGCTACTTCAAAAGTCTCCTGTAGGCATGCGCACGTTAATCCAAATTATATAATTCCAGCATCCTCAAAAGGGTTTGACATTAACCAGGTTTCCCTCCAACCTTTTTATGCGAGTAAAGTAGCCTACATGTCTGGTAAAAAAAATTCACCCCATCATAGGAAAGCATGCAGTTTATTAGGCTACAGATGAAATAAGTTATGATGAACTTCACAGGGTGGTGAAAGTGCAAGGTGATGAACCTCATCACTGTGCACTTTCACCACCATGTGAAGGTCATCATAACTTATTTAATCATAACTTATTTCCTGCTCTTTTCAATAAATATCGAGGGTATTATTCTGGTGACACGATGATTGATGCTTGGCTGCCATTTGACAAATAAAAATAATCTTGCACTTTTGTCCATAATAATCTCATCATGTAGTAGGCTATACCTGCACTGTTTCTGCAAGCTGTTGGCTAGAGTGCACATTTGCTATACCTATGCAACATTTTTTGTGACAAAACCATCAGTATGCTTACAGTTGAAAATGTGATGGAAACCCATTTAACTTGTACTTTTTATTCGGTACATGGGAATTTAACCTCAAAAGGTATTCTTATGTGCACTACATATTTACCGCACACATTTTTCAATTTGATGGAAACACAACTCTGATGGGAAAATGATCCAGGGTTCCCCTTAGCTGGTAATTGTGGGCATTTGGCTGATAAAAAAAATGAAAAGCCAATAAATAAAATTGTAGCAGGCCATATTGTCCAGGAGAGGCTGTCTACACCCTGAATTCGGCTTCAGCACCATTCTCTCACACCTTGCGCGCACGTGCGCCTGCTGCTGAGGAGAGCGAGAGCAACCAAGGAGCCTTGGCCTAGGCTACTGTTGATTGCAAAGATTGAGGCCTTTTTCATTGAAGTAAAACAAAAGTTAGAGGAAAAAGTGAATGCCTATAGTGAAAAGCCTACAAGGAGAATTTAATATACATTTTAATATGGTAGTGGACTAAGATGAGAAGAATGCATTCTACTGTGCAACTCCCTATTCAGGTTGCAATTTTGGAACTTACATTTAGATAATCCTTTGTTTTATCATTATTATTGAATATCATTGTTATTATCGTAAGCCTATTTATTAATCGAAGCCAGTTCTTTAAATATGCGAAACCTGTTTTGTTTGGTCTGTCGCTTTAATTGTGTGCTCTGTATTTAGTTTAAGATAGGTTATAAGTAGGTCTGTTGTAAAACAAATAACATTACCCTATTTCTGTCATTTGTTGGATATGGTAGGCACCTGCCTTTGTTGGGAATTGCTGCAATATAGCCTGTTCAAAAGGCTTAAACCAGTTTGCAATTGTTTTGTTTCATTCTGTTGAGCCATTTTATTTGGCCAAATTAAAGTTCCAACTATAATGCTGTGTTTGCAGCAATATAATAGCCTGCTCTTATTTTTCCTATAAACAATGGCTTGACTTACTTTTGATATTACCCTAATAACGTTTAGAAACTTTTGTGAAAGTTTGGTGTGGCAATTATTAAGCTTTAGCTACTGCAAGCCTATGATATTTACATTTACTCTTTAGTCATTTAGCAATGTGCACTGGCCCTCCAACTAACTCCAACAGTTGAACTTGAGGTGAGCAAGAATGTTTCAGGCCTACTAGACTTACTCCTATAATCTAACAATATAATGCTTATCTTTATACAAAATGTTCTAATTG